TGCGTTGCAGTCCACCTCAATCTTAACGATATTTTAACGACACTATCGATCTCTAATCAAATTTCACGCTGACGTCGGTTTCCTTCCCGATCCAAGCGAAATCCATCGTAACTCACTAGTCCTTTTTCCAATTCCTTTTCTCACCAGCTAATCCATAGAAACGAATGGTTTGATTACCCCCGTCGATCGAGCCCTACTTCTACAAACCCTTCAGAACTAAGCACGACGACACTCTTGAACACCGCGCGTATACGATCGGGAAAGCACGAGGCACCACCATTAGAGGAGGCGCCGGTTCCTCGTGGCCGCTGGATCGCCTGAAATCTGACCTTGCCTGGAGTGTCCCAGGCGGGGACGGCGCGCACGGTAGCATGTACATACTAGAAATTCCGCGTCGTCCGTCGTCGTCGTCGCCGTCGTTTCGTTACATCCGGATCGGGCCACGTTCAGATCAATATACGCCGTGTCCCCCAGCCCCCAGCGGTGGACGCGTGCGCGAGCACCACCACCGTAGGGAGACCTCGTTGGAGTAGGTCGATCCGGGCGCAACCGAGAGTGCCGCCGCGCCGAGCACGCACGCACGACGACGACTACGAGGATTCGAGTTACGACAGCCGGCAGAGACTACTCACGCGTGTCGGTTCCACACAGGCCACGTCGAGCAGCAAATAATCCGTCGTTTTAACGTGTGTGCGATTCATCACGTAAGCCCCTTCCCAGCCACGTGAAAAACCGAAACGAAATATATAACATCAAACGGGAACCGTGGCGCCGTGGATATAATATCCTCTTTCTCGATCTGTATTAGCTCCTCCGGTTTGTCTGTGGCGAGAGTTTCGAGAGGAAGCCACCCAAAAGAAAGAGAGAGAGAGTGAGAGAAAGAGAGTACCGGCAGCTGCGGCCACGCTGGCAAATCACGACTTATGCGTCTGTACCGAGCAGGTAATGATCATCATCATCATCCTCCTATTGCTTAGGACAGTCTACTTAGGCTGTAGTCGATGGAGGTGTCTTTTGGTGCTTAGGGAGTATATGCTTCCGATCATGGGGGGATCATGTGGGGATTGTCGTCGCTTAGACCAAGAGTGCTCCGAGAGATTGGATGAGATTTCGGAGGAGATAGGTGTGATTCACACTTTGGATCATCTGTGATCGGCGAAAGCTCTTCAGGATCATCATCCTCCCACTGGAGTATCTCGTAAATGTCTACTGTATTCCGTGATCACCCGCACGATTCTCTCGCCCCTTACGAGAGAACGGCGTAACGTGCATTGACGTGTGGCCTCTTTGCGCATTCCGTGTGATACACGGTGTGCAACGTGACACACCGGTAATGTGCGGTACACGGTGGTGTGCACCGATTTTTCGTTCTTCATTTTTTCTCTTTCTGTCGTATCGAAGTGCTCTGGCAAGTAACTTATCCACCGAACGTTTACATACTACGGATTTGGTTTTTTTTTTTTATCTAGATCCCGGTGGAATGGTTGAAACGTCAGTTGCCAGTGAACGAGAAGTGGGATCACACCAGAGAGAGTCTTCGTGATCGAGGATACCTGGGGATTGAGGAATCCTTGACGTGTGTATCTTCTGTGGAAATTTGGGATTCTTCCTGGATGTATGCGTCTGACCGATTGGTTTTTCGAAGACTCCATTGAATCCAGCTGTCAACCGTTTGGAATCATTTCCACTTAGCCAGAAACCTTGCAGTCGCATCGGTTCAACGACAGTTATATCCAAGTTGTCCAGATCAAGGATCGTTATCGCGTTCAAGATTACATACATTCCTTCCGACAGAAGTATACCTGCCTTCTGTTTGTCCGTTAGAGGTTTCGTCGTCGTCGACGAGCAAATCAAAGATTATACACCGTACAAACTCTGCTCTGACGTGTTCACCATCGATTGATTGTATTTTGTATTGCCTTGAATCTTCAATAATCGTCCGACAACTTATACAAAATTCCCCGATTTTGTGACACTCACCCAGTTTCGTGCGTAGCCGACGATCGATGATACTCTTCTTCGGTTCTCCAAGGAATCTATCTCTGTTAGAGCCCATTCCTCTTTCGTTCGTTCATTAACGTTCCCAAAATGGAAATCGAATGATGTTCGCGTCGATAACGCCGTTAATTGGGCGATATTTCACGGTTCGTATCGCCACCGTACACTTGACTCGATCTCGCAGAGTATTGTCCGCTATGGCGACCGGAAACCGAGCCGCTCCAGTTCACGATATGAAACTTCTGTTTCCATTTCGAAATGGATCGATAGAGGACGAGGGGGGAGAAACAGCAGCAGCCAGCAGCACTTCGTTGCTCGTCGCCGCATTGATAAACGTTTATCGGTACGGGAACCGCGGCTTGGAATTCTAGGCTGTTATTTTACACCGCGTGACCGGCATCGACGCTCATCCCTCCACATCCTTTACCTCCCCTCCTGCACGTGAGAACGTGAATAATTTATAGGGCGTTGATGAAGCGCGGAGGCATCCTTCGGAACCCCGAGAAAAATACTCTCCTCGATCTTATTTTCCTCGAGCACACGTCCTCCAGATTTATCTGACTCTTCCGTTTTGAAATATTACGTCGTTCGTCAGAGCAGGTTGGTACGAGATGTTAATCAAGCAATAGAGGCGTACAGTTTTGGTACCGTGAAGTTCCGTATGTTGGGTCCATTCGTGTCCTATCCGATTTTTCTGTATCATTCGATGGTGTATTATCAGTAGACTACGGATTGTATGTGTTTACGTAACATACAACCATCAAAGTAGATCAATAAAGTTTCTACTTTATTGTCAATTTAATAGATCAGAAATATAGCTGGTGGTTGCACCCGAGGACGAGATTCAGTGTCTTCTGGTCTAGTCGAATCGAATGTTCGATTACATTTCAGTGATAAGTTTCATCTGTATATTCATCTGTAGAAAATTGTTCTCGGTAAAGTTGCCACACGACAAAAATCTACACGGGCGCTTCCGTGTGGGGCGACACTCGTATCGCGTTCCTCGATGCGATTAACAATCGCCTCTTATCTGTTCAGACCCGATTTACGTGATTCAGTCGCCTCTGATGATTACACACCACGAACGTCGTCACCCGTGTCACCGTATCTCTCGAAAGCGGATTACTCGTGTGTTTTTGCATAATAGGATTTCGACCACCTATCAGAACACCAATGCAAACCCTAGGCAAGCGCCGATAAAACCACCGGGAGAAATATGTTTCAATATTTCGTCGATCGTTTCCCATTCACTGGATTCTTATGATCCATTTCACCGTCGCGCTTCCGTTCTCCTCTTCTGAATATACTCGTCGAGTATATATACTGGGTGAAACGAACAAATGAAAAAAATCTCCTCATAAACATGGGTGGAAAAATTAATATTCTCAAACAATGAAGGAGAATTGTAAAAAACAATATCTAATATGAATGGTAGAAAACCTTCTGTAACCAGGAAAAGAAGAAATAATAAGAAAATTCATTGTTTCCATACGATAGCTCCCGAAACCGAGAAAGTTACTCGCTCTAACCGAAACCGAAAATTATTTATAACTTCGTAAATATCAATTTTTTGACCCATGGCTTATTAGGACGTTTTTTTTTACATAATTTGGCAATTACTATCTAATCCCGAAGTTACGAACCCTTTTTTTGTTTCATCCTGTATACCCAGACAATAGAGACATCGTTTCTCTGTTCCATCTTTCGCATTCGACATACGTAGCCGGAAGCGTGCTCATGGCTTTGCGAATCCCTTCTGGCTTCGTGTCGGGAATCACTGTGGTTATATTAAGACCGATACGTAACCGTGATCGTTTTGTCCATCGGTTTCTTGTCCTCCGATCACGCGCGGTGGGTCCTGTTCAAATAGATCTCTTAAAACGAGGGTCATTCAAAGAGATAGTAAAGACAATAAAGTACCTCACGTGGATGTTAAACGATCTTCGAGGGACCCTTTTAATCATTCGAACAGATCAGGAAATCTCAAAACAAAAAACACTTGTTGTTAGACACTCTTATACGATTCTCCCAATTCGATAAAAACTAGCCCCACACGATGACCGCTTGCATAAAACATACACCCGTCTTCGAATCGATGGAAATCAGGGAAGACTCGATCGACCCGTTATCAGTCATCGTTTCTCATTTGTCGTCCATTTTTCGTTTGTTCGGTTCACACGACGATAGAAGAGATTTAGTGATGATCCCGTGAAGCCTTCGATTTCCCGGCTCCCGACGACACCACGAAACCGCGTTTTCTCTCCGGCAAGCACGTCCGCGTGTGGCTTTCGCTATCATGATTCTGGCATGGTCGATCACCCTGAAATGTCGTCCAGATGACCGTTAGTTTAAGCCGTGGATAAATGAGAGACTCGGAACTGGACAAAATTCTGGAACGACGATCATCATCGCAACACCGCCCCATAATCGGGAAACAGGCAGTCGACGTACAAATGACCGAGCAGCCGATGTATGTTCGCGCCCGAGTAACCTGCTGAAAGTCATCATCATCACTCACCACCACCACCACCGCCGACGCCGCCAAACAAATGGTCCCATCGACCGCAGCAGAACGTTTTTAGCAGGCCCCACGAAGCAGCAGCTCTCCTTGAGTCGTCTAAAGTTGCCTTTTGCACACGAATGGAGAAAGAGGCGACCGCGATAAATTCGTTTTACAACGTTTTACAGTTATACCGTTTAGCGTAAAGAACAAAACCTCCCCCGATGGTCCGTATCCCCCGTTCCTCCTCAGGTTGCGATGATTCGGGTCACTGAACACAGGTTTGTGCATGATCGAACAGACACTATGTAGAATACGCAGCAGCGTTCGAAGAGTGCACAAAGACGCCATTTCGTTTTTAGTTACCCTGTCACATCCCCTTTTGTATTATCATTGTATATTTTTCTCTTTCCGACGAACGTTTCGTTGATTCGAGTAGAATTGAATTGGACTTTTATATTCCGTTGACAAGTAATAACGTGGGATTTATATTTCGTTGCAGAAACATCCAGGATATCATCCAGAGGGAAAAGATCGGTGTACAGCAAAGGTGGCGGTAGTAGGACACTGTCCAAGCGATTCATAAACGGCAACACCATCACCTTCGCACGGTATAATCGTTCGTTACGAGCAACCTGTGAGTTAACCACTCCAACCTGGTACTATCCAGGCTTTCTTAGTGGCACAAGCAACGGACAGGCAGCGTGTATGATCATTGAAAACCATCCCCCTCTGCTCACCAAACCGAGGCAATATCTGCATCAAGATACCACCCAACGATTTCTGAACCATCTGGTCCTGCCTAAGCACAGGACCTCAAAATTTTCCAGGTTAGTGTCGCAGGTATAGTAAATGTAGACGAGAGGCAGTAAAGTATAGAAAGGCCGTCCGTTCAGAAAGCTTATTTTGTGGGCCTGGTTAGAGTTCTCGAGCCACAGTATTGTCTTCAGCGTCGCAAACGTTATTAGAACTGATCTGAAAAAAGTAATTAATTTAGAAAACGCGTGAGCATTGCACCGGTCTAGGCGACAGCTGATTTTACTGCCTGACGCTGTTTTATAACCGAAAAATGTACTTTTGTTGTTCAAACAGAACTTTAGGACTAACACATGGTTCTGTTACAGTAATAGGCATCGGAAGTTACAGTCGTTCAGAGAAACGTGACTGACGTCGGCGGGTAGTGCGGCACACCTTACCGCAGATAACGAAAATCACCCTGACTCGACACGTAAAGAGCTACCATCGGGTAGCCATTACCTGGCAACGTCGCTGCACAGCAATCAAACTGCCGCTGGGAAGCGTGAAAAGTAGATCTAGAAGGACGAGGACGAAAACGTTACCTACCTGAACCAACAACAAGATAGAGGCCGGAGGGATCAGAGCACGATATCCTTAACCAAGCGAGAAAGCCACATACGGCTTGAACAAAGTCACTCTGCTCGCCGGTTGTTGTCAAACGCGTTCACAACGTCTCGTCAGGGGTTGCTGTCACATCTGAGGGGGATTAAGTCGGTAAGAACAATAGACAGAAAACAACGACGGTCACCATGGGGAGCGTCAACGTTAATCGTAACGTCAGCGATGCGTTCTATCGCTACAAAATGCCGAGGATCCAGGCGAAAGTCGAGGGCAAGGGTAACGGTATAAAAACCGTTATCGTGAATATGGTCGACGTGGCTAAAGCAATCGGCAGACCGGCCACTTATCCGACCAAGTACTTCGGCTGCGAACTTGGCGCCCAGACTCAATTCGATTTCAAAAACGAACGATTTATTGTAAACGGTTCCCACGACGCTACCAAATTGCAAGACCTCCTTGATGGATTCATTCGGAAATACGTACTATGCCCCGCCTGCGATAATCCTGAAACCGAGCTGATGGTCAGTGCAAAGAAGGGTACGATATCTCAGGGGTGTAAAGCGTGCGGCTATCATGGCTTATTGGAGAGCAATCATAAATTGAATACTTATATATTGAAGAACCCACCGAGTCTGAATCCGGCAGTCCAAGGCAGCTCCTTAACGGAAGGGAAACGCGGGAAACGTTCGAAACGCGCGAACGGCGACACCACCACCACAACGACCGCTACCGCGAACGGTGATCGATCTGGTTCCCCGGAGAATGAAACCAGCGCCACCGACATCGTGATCGAAGCTCCTAAAAAGATCGCCGACGAAGAGGGAGACGATGTTAATTGGGCAGTCGACGTGTCAGAAGAAGCAGTCCGAGCTCGTCTGCAAGATCTAACAGATGGGGCGAAGGGGATGACCATCACCGATGATCTCGAGAAGACTGAAAAAGAGAGGATGGACATGTTTTACAAGCTGGTTAAGTGTCGTCGCGACGCTGGCCAACTGGACAACCATAAAGAGCTGGTTGGAGAGGCTGAACGTCTAGAGATCAAAACGAAAGCGCCATTGATCTTGGCCGAGTTACTCTTCGATCAGAACATTGCTGCTCAAGCCAAAAAATATCGAGTACTGTTACTTCGTTTTACCCACGATGATATTAAGGCACAAAAGTATTTAATCAGAGGTATCGAGCAAGTGGTAGCCCTGCACAAGGATGTTTTAATGCCCAAAGTACCCGGCATTTTAAAGGTAAGAGGAACCAGCCTAACTTTCCGATGATTATTTAGAGTAAATAACTTGATCGGTTGCATTTGTTCGTAGCTCTTTTACGACGCTGATATTTTGGAAGAAAAAGCCTTATTCGAATGGTCGAGCAAAGTCACTAAAAAATACGTACCAAAAGATTTGTCTCAAGAAATTCATGATAAAGCTGCGCCATTCCTGATTTGGTTGAAGGAAGCAGAAGAAGAGGATTCCGAATCGGAAGAAGAAGATGATGATTTAGAAGTCAGTACAAGTAGAATACTGCTTTTAATTAAATGCAGCTTAATTGATGATTGAAAATTATTATGTTTATTTTGTTTTGCAGATTGAATATGATGATAGAGCCAAACAGTCGCTAAAACCGCAACAGTCACCGCCTGCGCAGAAACCTGCTGCAGTCAATGATGACTCGGATAATGGAGATGATTTTGATATTGATGCCATTTAAAGTTGAAAAGATGCTCAGCAGTCGGACATGACGAAAAATATCAAAGGAAGGAGGCGAAGAAAAATGTGTCCGATAAACAATGATTAACGATCATTTCTCACATGATACAAAGAGTCGCAATGCAATCTCTTATTATACATAGCATTTTGTTATTTTAGGCCAAGGAGTGATTATAATGTCTTTACGCTGTACGAAAAAAATTTTAATTGTTTCCCAAGTTTAGTAATATTTATCTGTACGGTAAAAATATTTTTAATTGTTTTTAAATAAGGTGATTATGAAATACCAAATATCGTTATTCCTAATTATTATTGAAAGGTTCTTTTAAAACGATCCATGCTTCTATACCTTGATAAAGCGTCTCTTTCAGAAAAAGAAAATGAAAAACGATATTAATAGTTCACCACTGTTACTGGGATGTTGGCCTGCTAAAAGCGTTCTCTATTGTATCTATTTACTATTCAAATAATAATTATTCAAATAAATATGGTTTACTGCAATTTACAATATTATGTATTATTAAATTTCCCACTTTACATCTAATATAATAAAATTGCACGTGAAAAAAAAATGATTATACTTTCCTCTGATAATATGTCTTGAACAACATATCTAAATGATGGACTAACGAGCAAGTTTACGATTACTTCAATTGTTTCAATCCGTTAAACTGTAAAAAGAATTTCCACTGCATGACTTGAGTTAATTTTTCAGTAATACCGTAAGACTTCCAGGAAAAGCATTGTCTCATAATAATTCACCAATGTCCTTACACATAAAAAGTACATACAGATCAGTTTCTCACATTCGTAAGAGGATTGCTTCGAAAAGGTGTTCAGTAAATTTTTCGTCTGAATTCGGTTCATAGAAACCACCGTAAGGTTCAGTAAGTTCTGGCGACTAGCGCTGCAATCGGGAAGTCGCTTCAGTCGCGTTTTTATGATCGGCTGACGGTGGTCTTTGCAATACTTCAGATTTTCTCTTGATTTTCTCCTCTTGGGAAGTGGATTTTCCTTTTGCATGGTATTTCACGAGAATCTGTTGTGTAACGGGGACGAAAAGCAACGTGTAGCACTCGTTCATCACGAGTCTAAAAAGTAAAATATGCGGTTGTTGTGCTCGCATTAAGTTTCACGGTTCTCGCCATCTTAGTCTGTCATCAAACGTGTGGGCACAAAATTCGTGCTCCGTCTCGCGTTCCGTAAAATCGTTCGCGACAATATTTTAAGAACGACACTTGCCACTTTCTTTCAAAACCGTGGCGATCCCTCCATGGTGAATTTGTAACCGGTGAGAGTGAAACTCCTTTTCTTTCCCAACCTTATCGCTGGCAGTGTCGTTGCCGGACAGATACAATATCATCTTACAATCTGTGTAATTCTTTTATTTGGAAGTGATAATACCTGAGAACGCATTTTTGACAGTGCATCGAAGATCCTGTTCTTCAAGGAAGTGGGATGATACACTGAACAGAGAAGCAATCCTGCATGGACCGTTCTGAAGAGTAAGTCCAACAGCTATAACTTTCCTAATGTTTTTTAATGCTCATTTTTCTTGCTCTTTTTCAAACATGTATGATAAAAAAGCGTATCATTTTTCTGGACTTCAATCGCCACGCCTTCTGTAGCCAGGTACTGCCGGAAGTACTTAAATCGTTTCAATCCATTTCCGTAAGATCCTGCGGAACCATGACAGAAAATCACCGAGCATGACGACGATTGTGATGATAATTATCCCTGTCCAATGTGCTCAGAAATGAACGCGTTCCGACGAATTTTCGCTAATTTATTATAATGGAACGAAACTCGAACCGGAAAAACGTTTTCACTCTGTTGTTATTCGTATGTTGTGTGTTCTGCGTGCATCATTACATAAATGGAGACTGATTACAGACTGTCAGATAAACGAAAAACAGATATGCAGAATAACAGACAGTCAATGAAATAGATTAACAATATAATGATAGGCTTCTCTATACTCAAAAGTTGTGCACAATTCCATTCCAATGAGAAATCAGAGTGAACGAAATAGTGTCTAAGAAAGTTAAGCTTTTCTTGAAATATTATTATAAACTGTTACTATTATTTGTTATATGTAAACGAAACTCCATACATATATGCGATTGTCACACGATCCGAATGTTAATCAACCTTTTAACTGTTACGTCTTACAAATATAGACGTACAATTGTCTTACGTTGTCGCGCCATTTGTGGTTGAAAAATTCATTGCACTTGTTCGATCTGTCGTTGACCCCTTTCTACTTTCGAAAATCCGATACGGAAACTTCATTCACGGACTGCATGGTATTTTATATTTAGTGCACGCCAAGATTGTACAAAATACTTATATCAGGGTATAATGTATTTTTGTTTAGATATTTTTACACCAATTGTTTACTTACAATTAGTTTACGTAAGATGCCAAAGTGCTTGCCCTTTTCAATACCGACATCGATGTTTCGTTCCTCTACTTCGTGAAACAAATGCAGCAAGAGTTAAACTCGCATTTCGGTTATCGGAACAAAGAGTTGACAAAAATATGGAGCGAGAAGTGTCTTGGGGTCTCACTGAGGGTCGTGACGAACTGTCTAAACTTTATATCTTATGAATCTTCCTCTTTACCTAATCTAAACCCTGACCCTATGCCGTGTTACCTGATATAGATGACCATCTTGAAAGATACAAATAAGAAGACATTTTGTTATATTTGTCAACGCCATACGACAATCAATGGCAGTTATTTTGAATAATTTATCACCGAATTTATCACGTTGACCTGAAAGTTCACTAAAAGTATACCCGAAAAAGCAATTTCAAGTGATGCATACGCACCTGCATATAGTACACTTCTCTACGAGCGAGCGCACATGGTACAGTACTTCCAATGTTCTGTCGTCATGCCGTGAGTCATCAGCCACCAGTCTCTGTTCCTCTAGAAGCCGAATGATTGCGAAAACGGTGTACGCGCTGCGGTTTTTTGCTACGAAGTACACCGAAATATTCCACCGAGCCTGTCGAGAATCTAGTTGGCGAAATAATTGCTATGTGAAATTTGATTCGCCATCGACGATATGTATCTGCGTCGGAATTCCATTTAACGCGATACGGTTTTAAGTCTGGACGTTGTGGCTAAATATGCCAGCCTAATTGGGAAAGAAAGTTGGGAGGAAAATAGGTAAAGGTATATACTCGTTAATTTGTAAAACGTACAGTTGTTCGAACGAGAGTAAAACGTATTTGAATCTTACAGAATCGGCCACTAGGTGGCTATTGTACCCAGCTGATTTTCGCGCTGTGAAAATTCACCGATGTTTCCTATCTGCAGGCAACCTGTTCAACGTCTGAGCACTTTTGAAGTGTGATGTTGAGTTCAATGTACTTTCATAAAGGAAACATATTTTAAAAGAGTACTTTCTTGCATTTGTCTTGCATTCGGTATAACACTTCAGGATAACGTTGATAATACATTTTTATTTTCCTTTAATATTGTACTATCATGTGTAACACACTCCCTGTATATTCTCTGTTAGGTTTTGAAGGGGAGATCATAAAGGTGGACAACGAACCCCATCCCTCCGTCTGTGATGCGTTAAAGTGTCATCCACGCGTCACCCTCGTAAGAGCTTCATTCATCGCACCCTTACGCACCCTTGGATTATTCTTACTGACCGACTGACGCCTATTTGCGTATCGTTGTGCTGACGAACGTATCACGAGGCTATCTTATACGGAAACGTGTATCATTCATTCCGTCATATCCATTGGACACTCGTGTGTCCGTGCACGTATTTCGTATGCAATATACAGTAACAACCCTCTGGAATTTGAAACGCATGCGCAATCCACCCCCACTCGCCTTACGACTCCACCGTTTCATGGCTGAGGGTGCGAAGCCAAACGTAACCCCCTCAGTAAAGAATTAAACGCGATTCCGCGAGGTGCCCCCCTCTAAACCTTAACACCGCGGGCAACTATAGTGTACATACATATATACATATATATATACATACATATTCTATATTTTTATACGTTTCAACCGAGCAGATAAATGAATTTTTTACAAAAGATTCGATTGACTGAAAGTGACAATACGTCCGCGACTGTCCCCGAAGAAACGGTAGACAGATCGACATAGTAGAAAGTTCGAAACTCTTTTTTTTTTTTTTGCGAATTAGGTAGGTCCAACAGAGTCCAACTTTACCGATGGGTAGAACAGATATGTCCAAAACGCTGAACGCTTATAGAATGTGAGTAGTTCACCCCTACTTACAAATCTTCATACACCATTCCTGATTATTATATCCGATCCTTAGCCGTTTTTTCCTTTTCGTTTCTGTTCCCCTTACACCGAACGCCGTCGCATTCTTTTTTACGTAAACATACCAAGCTCTAATTGCCACGCACTTTCATTAGAAACCTCACACGATCCCCGTTTTTACCATAGCCCCCTCAGCCAGCGATCACGGGCCATCCACATCGTACACGCGATCCAGGAAATGCCTGTAACTACATGCTAGAGACAAAGGGAACGAATTACTCGGTATCGCGACGTCGACGTAGAAAACACGGGGTTCCATCGGCTGTGAAAATACTTTCCCCGATCATTTATCATGAACGCAGTTTTCCATGAAAAATCAATGCGTCCAGCCGAAGACTTTCGAGCATTTCCTGCGGCATCCACCATTAGTTACATTGAAAAATCCAGACACAGTGGTTCTCGTTTATTTGGCCCTTTCAGATCGATTTCCTTTAAAGCGTAAAGCTAAAGGAAACTACCGTTTATGGTCTCGTACGAATCATTCGTTAGACGGTAGCATTTCAGCGAGGTCAAGGCTCACGCGGAAGGACGATTGTACGAGGTCAAGGTTTATACAGATGCGGAACTTGAATGTCGAATCTTTATTTTTAATAACGTTACTATTTTTTTCGTGCAGCTATATGTGAACGGATACTTTCATAAACATTTAACGATTTTACGAATATCCCTTCTTCCATTGAAAATCTGCTGTACCTATATACATTCTGTCGCATGAAAGAATACGTTTCGGCGCACGCGCTGGAGTATCGAGCCATTGATTTTGCTGGGTTTAACTGGGGTCTGGTGCATGGGACAGGTTTCCCGTCAATTTGAATATTACTCATAATTGTTCCTTGTGTTATCAATCGACATTTACTTACGTCGTCTGGATCGTTTACGTATCGTGGTATCGGTTATCATATCCTTGAAAATTCACGTCACTGAATATACTGTCGTGTCGCATAAGAAAAAAGCATCTTGACAGTTGCGCATGCGAGTACGCATTAAACCATTGATTTCTGTGGGTTTAACGCGGCCCTAACATGGGGTAAGTTTTACTTGAAATTAATTCTGTTATAATCGGTCTTAACTGTTTCGAAAACAATCTCGAATGGTTGTAATCGTCTATAGAGTTGCAAATACTTGTATGTTTACGTAAAAACGAAATATTCTGGTCGGCTTTGATCTGGAAACGCTCTCCTCTGCGCGCGTTACCAATGCCGGATACGTTCTGGTTACCCCGACCGAAATACTTCTCGATGCCTATTTTTGAGTGTGGTTAATTATTGGCGCGTAAAGCAAATCGTTCCAAATACCTTTTACCGCTGTCTTACCTTTTTCTACGCGCTTCTCCTTCCAAGTGTCGGCTAACATTTGCAATTAAAACTAGGAATGAAGCTCTGCATCTAGCTACAATATATTTTTGCTTGTTAATTTACGTTGAATTACCTACATTTTGGTGTTTTTGGTTGCAGCAAAAAAATAGAAAATATTGGTAGAATGACGGCCATGACGCAGGAAGAAATCGTGGCTGGCACCAGAACTGTGGCCCAGGGTCTGGAAGCCCTTCGTGTTGAACACGAAGGACTTCTACAGGGGCTACAATCTCAGGATGCACCGGCTGCAAGAGACAAAGCCAGCTTACTGTCAAAGAACATTGAGATGATAGAGTTGGGCCTCGGTGAGGCTCAGGTCATGATGGCTCTGGCTAACCATTTACAAAAGGTCGAGGCTGAAAAACAAAAGCTTAGAACACAAGTTAGGAGGCTGTGCCAAGAAAATGCCTGGTTAAGGGACGAGTTGGCTGGAACACAGCAGAAATTGCAAGCTAGTGAGCAGGCAGTAAGTAATCGCATTACAATCAGTCTGTGTTGAATGTATGCAAGGAATTTGGCCTGCAACAATAATATCCATGATTCTTTGTAGGTAGCCAAATTGGAAGTAGACAAGAAGCAACTAGAATTCATGGAAAGTATGAGGCAATATGATCCTGATCCTCCTGCTGATGATGAGACTACTAAAGACAGACCAAAAGATGATCCTGTGGTCGATCTATTCCCCGATGACGATGCGGACGACCGAAATAGTAAGTGTAGGTTCATCTTTGATTCCTCTAGCCAAGCATCACCTGCAGATGCTTGAATTTTCCTTTAAGTCTGTGTGAATGATACCGATGAATATTACTTGATTCTGCTTTGAATCTTTTGTATCTGAGAGTGTATTTGAAATGGTACCCATGTCGTGTTATTGACACCCTTATTATCGTTACGTAACAATGCTGCAGTGAAATTCTGTGTCTTCACGCAGACTTGATTCTTCGATACGGACCACTTTTAACAATGTTCGATATTATTATTACAGCGATATCGCCGACACCGCCATCGCAATTTGCACAACAAGTGAACGCCGGATACGAAATACCTGCGCGCTTACGTACACTGCACAATTTGGTTATTCAGTACGCGGGCCAAGGTCGCTACGAGGTGGCAGTGCCTCTTTGCAAGCAGGCGCTGGAGGATTTGGAGAAAACTTCCGGCCACGACCATCCCGATGTGGCTACGATGTTAAACATTCTTGCTTTAGTATATAGAGACCAAAACAAGTATAAGGAGGCTGCGAATCTATTGAACGATGCTTTGTCCATCCGCGAGAAGACACTAGGCGAAAATCATCCTGCGGTAGCCGCCACGTTAAACAATCTGGCCGTTTTATATGGAAAACGAGGCAAATACAAGGAAGCAGAGCCGCTGTGCAAGCGTGCTCTTGACATCAGGGAAAAGGTTCTCGGACGAGATCATCCGGATGTCGCGAAACAGTTGAACAACCTCGCGTTACTTTGCCAGAACCAGGGTAAATACGAGGAGGTTCAGCGTTATTACCAACGAGCACTTGAAATCTACGAGGCGAAACTCGGGCCGGATGATCCAAATGTCGCGAAAACGAAAAACAATTTAGCCTCTTGTTTCCTGAAACAGGGGAAATACAAGGATGCCGAAGTTCTGTATAAACAAGTACTGACCAGAGCGCACGAGAAAGAGTTCGGTGCTATTGCTAGCGATAATAAACCAATTTGGCAGGTAATGTTGTTTCCATAATTCTCGGTTATATTACGAAGTGCACTCGCGAAGGGGATTTGTTACGACGGGTGCTTGATCTTCAGGTCGCAGAAGAAAGAGAGGAAAATAAGCATAAAAATAAAGAGAATGCTCCTTACGGAGAATATGGAGGTTGGCACAAAGCAGCAAAGGTAGACTCGCCCACGGTTACGACTACTCTGAAAAATCTTGGTGCATTATATCGAAGGCAAGGAAAATATGAGGCGGCGGATACTCTGGAAGATTGTGCTTTGAGGTCACGAAGGGAGGTTAGTTAAATTATTATTCGATCTAGCTATACACGTTCATCCACAAGGTTTTACTGTAGAGAAAAAGTTTTAATTCACGTAGTACAGCGAACGAAATATTTTCGATACATTATTCGTTAAGTTCAAGATAGGGTTGGATTTAATATGCATACTTGTTGCTCAAGTTGTTTGTTTCTTTTGAGGCAGACATTAGAGTTCGTGAAGCAAGGAAAAGTCGCGCAAATACTAGGGGATGAGAAAGGATCGACAAGACGCGGCTCGCGGTCCAGTTTGGCAAACAGCGAACACGAGCAACACGACGAGGTAAGTTGTGTTAGACAGTAATAGATATAAATATTAGTCGCACTGCATGTCGTAGCACACGATTAGTCGTCTACTATCCTTTTCTTCTTTCTTTTTGTTCTTTTTTCGTTATCCGGCCCGTTCTGATGAATTGGCGATACAACACACAATCACAGGGCTCGCTGCCGCTGGTACAAAGGGCGCTACACGAAGGACAGTCTGGCCACCACGACGCTAGTCCTAACAAACCCGGTTTTAAAAACAAGTTCTTTCAAGCTCTCGGGATTCACTCTTCCACGTAGGATTATCCTTCGTCTGTAGTATTGCTACTGTTGTTCAATTATGCCCGATCACTCGCAGAGATTTGTCGGTATATCACTCGAGGTCTGTACTCTTAGGACGAGTGAGAGCGAGAGAAAGAGAGAGGAGAGAGTGGAGATATTTAATTGCTGATAAATATTAACTAGCATTTATCGGAAAAGTGCCTGTCAGTGATTCCTCTTGTTATTAAGTCCGAGTGTTCCCCGATTAAGAACCGCCTACGGACATAATTTTTGTAAATAACGCCAATCATTGGGAGAGGCATTAAACGTGTAGTGGAATTCTAGGAACGGGTCTTTTTGATAATTCTGGGCATTTGATACTGTTTTCCGCAGCCAAGTATCCCCGGTAACAGCACATCGTAACTGCACATTCTTTTAATACATTTACAGGGCGTTACGAGTAACGTTCGTTGCTACTTCCACGATTGTTGCGGGAATGTATTTCGCATAGAAAAAAATACTGAAGCCTTTTACAAATCACTTCCATTCATAAGCTGTGATAACAATGTTCTTCGATTAGCCTCGTTTTTTGCTTTCCTTTGTTATCATTTTTAACGAAATAAAACGTCGGAGATATTTGTATGTCATATTTTGAAGAAAAAAAAGTTAATCAGAATTCGATGGAGGTGTTTTCCAATGGAGCATTTTGTTCTCCGCATTGCATTATTTATATTTGTAATTGACAATAGAAAGATGGACACTTTTATTACGCTTGTATTATACACAGCCATATATAGAAAGCGATTAGAATAAACGAAGCTTCCAGAGGTCATTATTTTCGTAATAGAGAATTACTGTTTACCGTTTTCACGTGATATTCTTGGCTGACAGAGAGCCGGCAATAGTGGAAACGAAAGAATCGAACCGTTCTTTTTTCCTAAAGCCAAAACACTGCGAAGCTACGCACATAAATTACTACGAGTAGTCAATTCTTAGCAGCAGCTTTGCTCAACTATATAGTCCAGTATAGATTTGCAAAGATGATCATTTTGATATAATTGATGTACAGGGAAGATTAATAGTTCTGTGACCATCGACAGGTGAACGAGTGAAGAAAACACATTTATTCTCTGTAACAAATATCTCGTACGATATTTTCGTATAAATTATTCTGATTTTAATACACACCAAACACACACGTACTGTCTTCTTCGAGTCTTACAATGCATTGTATCATCAATTTACATTCATTATCCCGTTTATGTAATAATGTGTTTAATTTACACTTTTTAAATGAGAAGTTTTATCTGGCTTAGGGTTACATTGATTGTGTTTTATTTATAATGTGATATGAGGTGCCTCGAAATGAATGTAACATTAATAATTCTCCCTTCAGAGTAATATGTATTTGTAAGGAACGGATGCAACTTGTGCAATTCATGTTATTTATATACATAGTATATATTATACTATTATTATGTTTTTAAATGAGTCTCATTTGTGTGACAAATGATTATTATATTTTAGGAAGATCTCAAGAGCGTATGAAGGGTACATTAAGGCCGTCCTTCGAGGCACCTTATATCCAAATTTTATTAATTACAGATGACACTTCGTGTTTCCATTTAGACAAAAGAGTAACGAATACATTGTTATGTTAACCGATATATGGTATAATGTTTGAATTTGGAATCAATAACTACGAACTGGAATAATTTAATATAAGTAGTGCCTTGATACTTTAATGAGCGAATGAATAAATTATTTTCTAATTGACACAATGTATCTTGGTTATTCGATTTACATTCTGGGATATCCTATGTACAGGACCTTTTACATTTTTCATGTGTCTATGTTCATTATGACTATTGTTTTGTTAATAATGACTATGTGTAGAAAGCACACGATCTTCTTCTTTTGTACAAAGCAGAGAATGTGTATAACCGGTTTGCATTATTAATTCTCCTCGCACGTATTTGTGTTTTTAACCACCATTGTTACAAGTCGTCTTTTTTTTCGATATCCTGCGTTGTCGTTTTGTTTCGCTTTGATTTGAGTACTCTGCGGGCCGGGACTTAGATAAAAGGATGTCATCTTACGGAATACGATTATCGTCTGGACCGAAAACGGAACAAAAATAATCTATTTAACAGGTGCGTATTCGTAGATACATGTATATGTAGAATGTATTCCATATTATTTAAATGTTTTTCGTGTCGATGCACAGAAAAGTCTCTTTTTGCCATTACCAACTGTTATATATATATATATATATATATATTGCCTGACTCACTCTTTTTTCCTCTATTTTTTTTTAGATACTGAAAGATGCAGACCTTTCTTTTGAACTGTACCAAATATATTAAAAGTCGTGTGTTATCTTGTTGGCAAGATTGATTACTGCTCCTAGCATGGAACGTTTAACAACTACCATATGTACATATACAAATTCATTTTCGTACGAGCAGTAATTGATTGCACTGTAAATGTTATATTGTCGGTAGATTATAAATTTGCTTGTGTCATGTATATCGAAATTTATATCATGTTTTTTCAGCTTCTATATTGATCAGAGTTATCCAAGGGTCTTGTGTCTTCGATGAGAATCTATGAGAGAGAAGTCTATGATCAGGAAATCTTGGCATTTTAGAGGGAAATCTGGTGCAGAATACAGCGGACGTTGAGTATTAAATAAATCCTAGAATGTAATCCTCTTTGAACTCTTCAGCCTACCCTCAAGTATCATTACAGTTGAGAATCTCGTTCCTAAGATTTATTTATACTTACTTCCATCTACATTTTGCACCAAATTATATCCAAACGAGAAGTCCCGCTAATCCTAGACTTTCCTTTTCAGAGAACCTTCTCAGTAGACAGTGTTCTGTCTAAGAAATCTGTATCAAGCGCCGAATTGTAGACGAAGCACTAAGCAAATCAAATAAAATCGAAGACGCAGGATCATCAGTGTTGCTGGAAGGGATCTCTCTAGAAACATTTCTCCTTCTGTTTCAGGACAGGAAGTATTTCGTTCGTGCGCAATAGAGGATACTATTTAAGAAATGTATGCGAAGCGATGAGAATTCGGATGACGTTCAGGGCTCGGCATTGTTTAACTCGGAAAACATTGTCTGATGTCCGCCCTCTGTCTGGATCGTTTAACGTATACAGCACATTCCAGCTGCTTTTAATCAGACGCACCGTTAATGAAGTACTTCACGTTGCTCGATTTAAACCGGAATTAATTACTTTTTCGTGCTAGCGACTGACGATTTGGAATAGCGAATGGTCACCAGGTGGATTTGGACTACCTTGCTTCGATCGTACTATCTAAATCAAAAAACTAAAAAAGAATAGCATGAAAATTTAAGCGAACTATGTAGTAGCGAGAAACAGAACGGGAGCGAAAACTGAATTACTGACCTAAAAAGACCGTGATGTATTCAATCCCCCCTTCGCATCGTACAGAACGATGAACAGTTTCAGACGCGTATACATATCCTTTTGTTGCTCATGTACGTTACGACCGACTACCGCGACAGGAATCATTCCATGAGCCAGCTTTTTTCGATCAACGCTACTGAAACGAATTCACGTTTAGAGTAATGCTTCAACATCGCTCACTTCAGCCCAAGCCGAAATTAAATACCATACCCGATTATAATCGAAAATCCTTTTAATTTTTTTTTCATATTTTTAAATAACATTTATGAATCGTTGTTATTTCTCCTTATTTCAAAGGAAATTTTCTTGGGACAAGTTAAGGAAGTCTTGAAGCATTATCATAAAGACTAGCAGAGAACGTTTGTATGTCGCTTAGCATTAAATGTACTCTTTACACAACCATGCACGTTAGAATTATGCGAGTATATCATCGTCATTCATCATATTGAGACTAACGAGTTGTAACATGCTAGGAGGAAGAACCGAGGTTTCGTTTTCGTTTGTTCTATAACAGAGGTGAGGTTAACGCGTGATAGTAGCGGAAACATAGTACGGCAGGCGACATTGATTTCTTTGTCCTATTTAGAATTGTATTACTTAAGTACTTATACATATTATATGTTATATTATATATTTATGTATTCGAAATATTTATATTTATTTCTACGTTCGATTCGTTGAATGAGAATATTTCGCGTATAAGCACGACGGATATGTATTATAGGATCGCGAGTTAAGTCGAGAAGAAATTTAGAAACGCGTTTATTTAAATTATGTTCTGAAATTTCTATCGTTTAATGGGAAATAGGGATTCTCTCCGCGTGTGTATCACGACAACACGACGCATCGCTTGCATCTACAAACAAGGATCATTGCAACCGGCTGTGAATGCAAAATATTCATCGAATTTGAAATTGTTTGTTGTGCAGCTACGACGGAATGGAATGGTGATCGTTTGAATTAGTCAAATCCTCGTATAGGTTTAAGATCTTTTAATTAATTCTTAACACATCTTTGTTTCATTTTATATCTTTTCGAGACGGGCTTGATAACGCCTCATAATGTCCCTTTTCTCTACGTCTTTTGCATTTTCTTTTATAGAGGAAGAGTCATTATAGCAGCTGGAATATTAAAATGGTTAATTATTAACCTCTTCGTAATGATAGGTGGTATGGTTGATGATAGTGTTCATCATTGGTACCACCAGTAGCAACACAGAATAATTTTGTATCATTCTTCGTTCATGATGAGTTAATACTTTTAATATCATCATCAACCACAGTGAAAGGGTCGAAGGGACTCGAAAAAGACTATGTAGTTCAAAAGATTCAAGACTCACTACTTGCGCACATGATACCGCAATGATTCTTATCGCTGCTAGTGTGGTGACTTGTGATCCCCAAGGGAAGAATCACTGTACATATTATTGTGCACAATTATCATTTATAGTCGTAGCAACGACCATTCGTTTTAAATTTCGTGCAATTCTGAAAGCGAAGCAGGATTCCCTTTTTCATTTGAGAGTTACAGACGTGACTCGACCATCAGGTCTTGGGTTCATCAGTTATTTCTTCTCTTTGGTCGTCGTCTTCTTCATCCTTTTCATTTCATGTTACATGTTTTTATCTTACGTTCATGTGTGCTCTCATTACCCTCAAACATGCATTTATAGATATGCATATTCTGCGCCTGAGAGCTTGATGGCCTAGAACTGAAAATTTTATTTTGCTCGGATTCATAATAGACATTTTGTCTGTTGGTTCCGTTTCTCATTTTTAAGTAGAACGAAAAGACACGTTTGAAAAAAAAACAATTTATCAACCGGCACTGTGAGATACCTTTGGCGAATATTGCGTGCAATCAAAAATTAAAATTGTTTTACACAGAAAAATGCACCGCACATGTACCGCATATTTCTTAATTAATTAAGATGCACTTGTTCATGCAAAATGTGCAAGGATATATGTATTCTGTAATTGTTTTCTGATTTTAATTTTAAGCATCTGGAAGAAGATTCATCGATATTGCACAAATGGAAAATGTCCTGTGCAATTTTTAATTTATTTTAGTCAACTTTTTAATATTATATTTATTAGTGTATTACTCCTCTTCTGTAGTGATAGGAGGGTCTTGCGTTTTTTTAATTAGAAAGTTCGATTTTTTTTAAAATGATTAGTTTTCAAAGAAGCTATATACATCACGTGAACCACCAATGCTCTATTTTACACTTAAGGGATAGATAATGTGATACAGTATTAGGGTAAGATTAGTGTCCCGTTTACCGTCGAAAGTAGCTATTCCTTTCTTATAAAACGAGAAAACTTTAAGGTATTGTAGCTCTCAGGTGCGAGTACTGTTATTTAAATAATATGTAAGATTTGATTTATAATAAATATTTCCACTTGTAATCCTTGTTCATCTGCCTCTATCGCGTGGGTAAGGATGTTTCCAAAACAAAGGTGTATGTATTGAAAAAGACAAATCATTTTTAAGTTACATTGTATTGTACTCATCTTCCAATTCTATTAAACCAGCATTGCTCTAATATTCATGTTAATTTCGACCCTTTTAGTTGATATCCTAATTTGATCTTTTAAGTTCAACATCCTTAAAGTGTTTTCTATATGTATGTACATATTTTACTTTTATTTCAGTAGATAATTCCTTTTTGTTTGAAAAAAAACTCGCGCTTGAAAGACATGGTCGTGGCATCTAGCGACAAAAATGTGAAAGCAATTGGTTAGTAGCTTGAATGTTTTATTGTAGATGGTGTCACTGTTACAATAAGAAGAAAAAAAGTTTATACGTAGCAGTCACCGCAGCACACAGGAATAAACGTCAGAAGTTAGAGCAGTTAGAGGACCATGGCGCCGAACCAACGTCAACGTCAGCTTTTCGTTTCAAAAAAAGAATTGAAAAAGCTTAATGGCAGAAGATTCTCAAAGTAGAGACAGTATTTTGGGCTGTTTATTGATAAAAAATGAATAAGTTATTTTCTTTTTTTTCTATCGCGCCAAATAACTTGAAGCATATACGCCGGTTAACCATTTCTATTTATTTAACGTTATAATATGTATTTAGTTATGTATTACAGATCCTTTAAAAACGTTATAGAATAATATCGCGTAATTGATACGTTTTGCTTCATTTATATATTCTACTAATTTATGAAAACTTTGATGCAAAGTACTTAGTATTACACAGAAAAGTTGAATGTGAAATGTGGGAGAAGGTGATAAAAGATAAATAAAAAATAAAATGAAAGATACCTATATGTTTCAGACCAGAAGAATCATCTGATGCTGGTCTTATATATCCTGGGGTAGATACAGCATTCAAGCTGATTTTATCAGCTAGATTTTGCTCTGCTATATGGAGTCATATAACAGATTGCGATGAAGCATATAATTATTGGGAACCAGTAAGGAGTAGTTTTACCAATTTATTTTTAATGATTCAATTGACTATTGCTAAAAACAAATATATCCTTCATATTAGAAGTACAAATTTATACACTTGTAACATATTACTTTGTTTTAATAAATGTGTTGTTTATTTTAAATGGTACTTCATTTTATCCAATGTGCTTGATTGTTTTATTGTAGAGTCACTATTTGCTTTATGGAACTGGTCAACAGACATGGGAATATAGTCCGCAATATGCATTAAGATCTTATGTATATTTGTTGATTCATATGGTACCAGCAAAACTTTATCATTATTTGTTGGAACCAAATCCTGCTCTAGTCTTCTATTTTGTAAGGTGTCTCTTATCTGTGGGTTGTGCACTATCTGAAGTATATTTTTATAAGTAGGTTTTATTTATAGTATCATTAATGAAAAAGATTTGCAGAAGCATTGTCTAAATAAATATTGTTTCAGAAATGTGTGCAGGGAATTCGGAATTCATATAGGAAGATTAACATTAGTGTTTCTTATTGTGAGTTCTGGCATGTACATTGCTAGTGCTGCATTCTTACCATCTTCTTTTTCAATGTATGTACATATACGCAATAATGTTTAACAAAGCAAGCATAAAGTATTAAAACTAATCTTCATAACTAATCTCCCTTATTTTTAACATAGGTATTTAAGCACTGTTGCTATAGCAGCTTGGTATGGTCGTCAATATGAACTAGCTATATTTGCCACTGCTATATCTACTTTATTAGGATGGCCATTTGCTGCATTACTTGGGTATTATTATGTGTACATAGTATTAAAGTACCCAATATAACATGGCTAGTTATACAAATTTTCCCTTATCTTTTATTATTTAAAGATTTCCAATTGCAATGGAAATGTTAATCCAGAAACAAGAGTGGAGTAAATTTATGAAATGGGTAATTATATCTGCTGCTGTTATACTGATACCAATGGTTTGGATTGATTCAATGTATTATGGAAAATTGGTAATAGCACCATTAAACATTGTAATGTACAATGTTTTTACTAATCATGGGCCAAATCTTTATGGAACAGAACCACTCAGTTATTATATCTATAATGGATTTTTAAATTTTAATTTCATTTTCATTGGTGCACTTTGGGCTCCATTTGGATTGGTAATAATTATACAGTTTATGACCATTCATGATTCACAGTATTTATTAATATTTTAATGAGTCTTGTAGCTTTTAGTGTGGATGTTTGTACCAGCACGACCAAGAGACAGACAATGTTTATCATATTGGTATTCTCTGGCACCATTATACTGCTGGCTTTTAGTCTTTTTCTTCCAACCTCATAAGGTGACATAAATTAATGTGTTTGTACACAGAAGTTAATATAATATATGTTCCAGTATAATTAAATTTTATTTTTAGGAGGAACGATTTTTATTTCCTGTGTATCCAATGATCTGTTTGGCTGGGGCAGTAGCTGTGGATGTCGTCCAAAAATTATACTTTTTCATTAGAAGAAAGTTCAACCGTTTGCACATTTCTTACCATTATTTACAATACACTATTCATATTACACTTCTCACTATTTTAATATGCGGTTTTCTTGGAGTATCAAGATCATTGGCAATATATAAAGGCTACTATGCACCAATGGGAATAATGATTGAAACTAATAAACTTGGATCAGAAGGAGAAATGCCTAAAGATATCAATATAAACTTTTGTATTGGCAAAGAATGGCATCGATTCCCTAGTAGCTTTTTCTTCCCGTCAAATAAGTAAGCAAAAAGACGAATGTATCTATCGAGATGGTGATCATAAGTACATCATAATTATCAAACAACAATATTATTTTCAGTTGGAAACTTCAGTACTTAAAATCAGAGTTTAAAGGGCAATTACCACAACCTTTTCTAGGTCATGAAAACGCGACTAGCGTAATTCAGCCTAATTTTAATGATATGAACAGAGAAGAACCATCACGCTATGTAAGTTTTCCGATATAGCACATTCGAAAAACATTAGAATGTTCAATTTTATTAACAATTATGTTTTCAATAATTTTAGTTTAATTTAGAAAAGTGTCATTTCATATTAGATTTGGATATTGGTACTGAGACACCTTTAGAACCAAATTATTCTCAATTAAGCGACAATTTTACAGTAATAAAATCGTCTAAATTTTTAGACACTGCAAGGTATGTGCATTAAAGTTAAAATTTTCTGTATTATCATATTCGATCTTTATTACATATTTATTATTTTTCAGGTCACATCAATTTTTCAGAGCATTCTATATTCCTTTCATATCATATAAATTTTGTACATATGGTTCATACAATTTATTACAAAATACTAAATTTAAGCCCATTTCCCACTCAATGAAAGAAAAAAATACAAAGTCCTCTTAAGTGGAGGTTTTTAAATGTTTATACTTTTAATGTACAGGGCCTCTATTAGGGAAGTTGTACCAAAAATGGAGTAATGTGAAATTATTAAAAAAGTAATATGTGTATCGTGTCACTTTTTGAATTGTGTTGAAAAAGGTTGTAATAGAAATCGTGTTCCAAATTATCCATTATATACTATACACATGAAACAAAGTTTTTGTATGAACATTTTTACCAAGTCAAGTCACATTGTTCACATGAACAATACTTAATCTAATAATATATGATACTTATACGAATATCACATACATAGTACATACTAAACATTGTAGGTGGAATAGCATACGTATATTGGCTTGTTTGCATTTTAACATATGTATACACATGAGTATTTTATCATTGTGTGTAAAAATAGATTTTATCTCTTGTTTCTTAAAACAGTCCGTATAATAATGAGTGTAAATGAATTTCATTCTTTTTCACTAGAAAAACAATATTTGTTACAAATTTTTTATTGAACTCACAAGTACTTTTTGGTACAATTAAGTAGTTCATTTTTTATTCAACGGTTTTTTGTACATATGTTAGTAAAGGTATAAGTAGAATGTAGTTTTGAAAATGTGTATATTATAGGTTTCAATTGTAAATATACTATAAATTAAGTTATGATCCTTTAAAAACATCCATAGTTTCAATTTACTTGTTAGTGGTTCTACAAAAAGTTTAAGTAGTACTTCTAATTGTAAGTATGATGCAAATTCATTTAAAATAGCCTAGAAGACTTTTAATAAAGATGTATGAATACTTGTGATTTAATTGTTGTAATACATATATGATAATTTGATGCAATACATGGAATTTTATACTCTTATATCTACAAGTCACTGTCGTATAAGAGGATAAACTTTTGTAATTTTATTGTGTTTAAATAAATAAATCTCACGTAACATTAGTGATACATGATATATTTTTGCAACTTGTTTACTTATTTATTTTTTCGAAGGAACACAGAGTAGTTCTTATGCGTTAAATGATTTTATAATCACATATCGATATGACTGAAAATTTTTTAACAAAATCGTAATATGCAAATTGTAGTTATCTTAATTTATGAATGTTATCAAGTTGCGGCTATTATCAGGCCGTCTATCTTTTTGTTGTTGAGCATGATTAAGCATTCTCAATCGTGCTTGTCTCATTGCTCAAATTTTTACCGCCGTATGTATTAAATGGCGCCTCCGTCTGTGACATTAAATAGCCATTTTTAAATCAACAACGCTGTAAGTTTCAGGCAAACAAGTGTTTAAATTTATGTACACGTTCATGTGCGCCAAGAGAGGAGAAACTTTTTTTTGATGTACAGATGCGATATCGTCGCACAATGTTTGATTAATGATAAAACTTTTGTTCATCGTAATGTAGTTCTTACACCGCCAGCCAGGACGTAAGAGCACCAAACACGATTAGCGACACAGTGTCAGAAAAGAATCGATGTAAAATGGAAACGGCAGAAATCGACAACGAACAGGGTCATGCAGATCCCATAAAATTGCCAGCTGCGGTTGAGGTGTTTGCAAATTTGAAAAATGCTCAAAAATTCGCAATTGATATCGGTACGTATTCCATTTCATACTGAACGTCAGAGCATACTTACACTAATGTATACACCTATGCACACAATTAAATCATATTGGGTTTCTTCATAGGAGTGTTTACATGTTCTTATTAAAAATTAGATGTACATCACATTATGCTTTCTCTTTGAGATCATTGCTTTTTTTATTTTGTTTAATTGCAGGCTTATCATTGACAAAAATAGCTTATTACTCAACAGTTAGTTATCGTAAAGCATTGTATGAGGATGCAGGTTTAGGAAACAGTGGAGAGCGAGCATATAAAGTATATGAAGGAAGTAGACTACATTTTGTTAAGTTTGAAACACAATACATTGGAAACTGTTTAGATTTTGTAAAAGAGAATTTAGTAAACGTTGAAAGGTTTCATGGTAAAAGCATTAAAGTCACTGGTGGAGGAGCATACAAATATACTGCTTTATTACAAGAAAAATTAGGCTTGATGTAAGTGGTCTAATGTATCAGAATAATGTGACTTCATTACACATTGGCTGTATCACTTTATAATTCATAGATAAAAAGAATCAACCTGTTATTTTAGAGTTGATAAGGAAGATGAAATAGCATGTTTGATAAAAGGTTGCAATTTTTTACTTAAAAACATACCGTGTGAAGCATTCGAATTTGAGAGGCATGGAAATCCTGAATATAAATTTCAAAAGGCTGGTCCTAATATATTTCCATATATGTTAGTGAATATTGGTAGCGGTGTTAGTATTATGAAAGTAAGTAACAATGTATCAATTAAAAACTCACACAAAGAGTTGTTTCTCATAATTTAAAGGTTTGTGTAACATTTTTTAGGTGGAATCCGATAAAGTATTTGAGAGGGTTGGTGGCACAGCTACTGGAGGAGGAACCTTTTGGGGTCTAGGATCTTTGCTGACAAAAAGAAAGGTATGACTATGCTTCAATATTTCAAAAACTTATTAATTGTTAATGTCTCATTGTGATCACACATAAGTATTTATTAGAAACGTCACATTACCAACCTGCAGCTTAATATACATAAATCTCTTTGAGTAAAATGTATGTAGTAGTAATTATTTTATTTTAATGTAAAAAATATATTAAATTTTACATTTGCATAATATCACTGAGACAAATTTACACATTTAAAAAGTGACTTTAAAAATACCCTGCTAGGGCTTTGATGAATTGCTGCAACTTGCAGAACGAGGAGATCATCGTAACGTTGATATGTTAGTGAAAGATATTTATGGAGGTGATTATTCTTCTCAAGGACTACCTGGAGAGCTTATTGCATCTTCTTTTGGCAAAGCAATGTCTTGCAACAATAATAACGGTAAGAAACTTAATTATAAAAAAAATCGTAGGCAGTTAGATAAAAAAGTTTAATGAAGCCTTCACTATTTATTTTGTTTTTCCTTTAGGGCGGCCAAAATTTTCCGAAGCTGACCTTGCAAGAAGTCTTCTGTTCACAATAAGTAATGACATTGGACAAATAGCTAGTTTATATGCAACTGTGCATAAAATGAAAAATGTTTATTTTGGAGGATATTTTCTTCGTAATCATCCTTTATCAATGCATACTATTTCATATTCTATCAAATACTGGTCACATGTGAGTTATCAAATTTCTATTCTTTTAATAATATATTAAATAAACGATCTGTTATTTAGTGGTTTTTGCTTTAACAATAGGGTAACGTGAAGCCACTTTTCTTACGTCATGAGGGCTACCTTGGCGCAATTGGAGCATTTTTATATGGTGCTGAGCAATCAGATGAGCATAGCTGGTTAGAAAATTATGCAGGTTCTTCAGGATTTAAGGATTCAATATCTACTGATCTTGGAATTAAAGTTGATCAGCTGGAAATAGATCAAGCAGAAAATGCTGTTACATTTTGTCCATTTTTAAAGGATCCTGCAACTTACAATCCTGACACAACAGATCTTGCAGAAGATAAAGAAGCTAGGTAAATTATAGTGTTTTATGATTACTGTCAGTAATGGATTATATATTTTGACAAAAATTTAAACTTTGCAGAGATTATTGGCTTCAGTGTTTTGAAGAATCAGTGGATAAATTTGTGGCAAGAGCTATCCATAGTCAGCCTCATAGTCCAACTGCTAAAAATCGAGCAACAAAACTTAAAGAGAAATATGTTAATAGACTACATTATCTACATTTGCAACCATTGTAAGCTAGAAACATTAATAATATACTATGACATAAAATTTTGTAATGTAAGATTAATTATTCTTACATTATAGTGCATATGGAACCCTCACTGTAAGAGTATTATTGGATACTATTGAACACTGTATGAAGGAATTCGACTTCCCCGATCCCTATTTGCACGTAAGTTATTTAAAAAGCTGAAACATACTACAAGAGTTTAGTAAATACTACCATTCTAGCCTAATAAGCATTTTTTAACATGCAGCAAAAGAAAAAGGAAAATGAAGAAGCGTTAAAACACTTAAAAGAACGAATAACTGTTTTGGATAAATTGAAGGGATCAGAAAAAATAGAAACTTTAATATTAGGTGTTTTAAGCGGTAACATGTTTGATTGGGGTGCACAGGCTGTTGCTACTTTGATGGAAACATCGGACTTTGGTTTCGCTGAAGCTGAGGCAAAGATACCAGGTGCGAACAGTTGACTTAGTAAAATAGATAATTATAATAAGATTAGTGATCCATTTTTTTAAACCACAGGTAGACCATGGTTGCAGGACGATTTAGATGATTGGATAGAAAGATTGGAAACTGGACCACCCCATAAGTGTGCAGCTATTTTTGTTGACAATAGCGGAGTTGATATAGTGTTGGGAATTTTGCCATTTACGCGTGATTTATTACAGCGGGGAACGAAGGTCAGTGAAAGTTGATAATTACTAAAGTGAAATTACTAACTGTACAATAAATTGAACATGTAATTCTCATTGCTTCAGGTTATATTGTGCGCTAATTCTATGCCAGCTCTGAACGATGTAACATATCCAGAACTGGTTGTAACGTTAAGAGATGCAGCAAAAATATGTAAAGTTATTAAGCACGCACTGAAAGAAAATCGACTGATCGCTATGGAAACAGCTCAAGCAGGTCCTTGTCTTGATTTGAGGTGAGTATTAGAAAGTAATAATACTTTTTACAGATTAACGGTATTAATGAATTTAAATTGTTTAATATTTAATAGCCGCCTGAATCTCGACTTGTGTCTCGCGATGGTAAAACATAACGTTGATCTTATTGTGCTCGAGGGAATGGGCAGAACTCTTCATACTAATCTTTATGCAAAGTTGACTTGCGAATGTTTAAAATTGGCAGTTGTAAAAAATCGGTGGCTCGCGCTTCGTCTGGGTGGTGATATGTATGCCGTAATATGCAAATATGAGCGGCCACCAGCGAAAACGAAAATTTATGATATAAGTGTGACGGAAAAGTGTCCATCGGAATGTATGGAGGTAGCAGCACGAATTTGTACATGCGAGGATCATGATTGAACTACACAGATGTATGTAACTATATTTGACAATACATTTTGAAACATTGGTCTATTCAGAAATTTTATTTCAGTTTTGCAGACTGAAAAATAGTGTGTTAAAGTATTGATCTATATTTATGTATGTATATAATTACTTTGAATACTTTTTATAACATTTAGCGTTATTTCTTTCTAACAATGCAACACTACAAAATCGATGAACAATAAGGAAATGAACTTGGTTGATTTTGTATTATACGTGTTGTTTTACGACAAGTTAACGAAGCTTAATCTGATATTTTTACATTAACCGAACATTAGAATTTTTAATATGAAATTAACCAAGTTTCACAAATTACCTTATTTCTTACTCGAAAATGAGGATCGTAGCGTTGACAAAGAACACTGATAAATAATGATTAACGCCTAGTCAACGAATACAAAATTATTTTTCCTGTTGTTTAAAACAAGTTACCGTAGCTTAAAGAAAAAGTAATGACGACCAATTCTACCACTTGTGGACATGTATGTAAACTACGTTTCTCGTAGACGTCGGATGCATCGCACACCTACATGTACGATATAATGTATGTACAGTACATCTTCTGTGATAATGCAATACTGAACAAAAAGATTATATGTTTTTGTGAATTATAATCAAAAATACCTTTAGAAAGAATGTTCTAGACGTGGAAAGATTTTGTACAAGGATCTTTAGTGGTACAGTTTCATTAAGAAGGCAAAGATTATTGAAAGTTGAAGCAAACAAAATGGTGTCTAAAAATGCAAAGCAGATAACGGTTTGTTAATACTCAACCTAGATATATGTGTATGTGATATTTAATTTGATTTGAAATGTGTAAATAAAACGTCAACTTTTTTTTTTCAAATATAATTGCCGGGTATTAATGACTAAGTAACAGGATTTCATTACTATATTGTAATTTACAGTAAAATTTACCAACGAATTTTTATGACGTATTACGAAAAAGCAAACGATCTTTCTCGATTACAGTTTCACTTCTATTTGTTGGTCAAATGAAAATGCAATATTTACCGACGTAAATATATTTATTAAGTTCGGTATATAATATTTATATGTAATAACATTCAAGACGTTGGATCTTATACGAATGTACAATACCTTGTCGTGTAAATAGAATGGAAATGTATTTTTTAGTAATAAATTTCGTACAAAATATACCTGTACCCATCGACGCTTCGAATCCTTTTGCAGATGACCGGATGGATCGAAGTTGACACGAACATCGGTACTTATTTGCAGATGAGCCTGTTATTCCCATACCAGGCGGAAACACACAGAACCTCTCTTTTGTTTGTTCCGCTCTCGGATCTACGGAACTAGCGTTCCTCTCTACAGAATATTTATCCGAATTGAAATTCAAACATCAGTCTATATACTTGTACGGGATTCATAAACTCTGGAACTTCCTTCCCTGAGATCATCAAGATTCAAGCTTTTCCGTATAAAATGGAAATTTAAGCCAGCTGGGTACAATCTTTATCATTTTTCAGCCATGTCCAGTAAAGCTGCAGGAGAAGAAGTATCCCCGGAGCAGGAAAGAGATCATTCCTAGGAAATAGGGGAGAGAGAGAAAGAGACAAGTGTCGGTTAGTGAACTGGTTGCCAGGGTGAGAAAAAAACGAGGAGAAACCGAAGAACCGAAGCGAAGGAGAGAGATAGAGAGAGAGAGAGAGAGAGAGAGAGAGAGAAGAAGGGCTTCTATGCATGCTGGACACGCTCTACGTTCATTTCTTTCAGCCACGTCCTACGCAACGTCCGGAGGTTCGGCTTTATTAAATTCCCGTTCTCTGATATTGTCCGGTCCGTCTAACTTCGAGTTTGTTCACGATCCGCTTTTCGAACCCGCTTCGAATAGTGTTATCAAACCATTTTCTCACCCCCTATTTTTAACGCATGCATCTCAAATAATATTTTATTATCTTTCTATCTCTTCAGCGTTACGAGAAACCTTTCGTAATCGTCGACACCGCCAAGGAATACCAAGAAGAGCAGGACCTTTGCCATCGACTCCTCATAGCCCTTCCAGGCCACGAGCGCGCCACGGTCTTAATGCTAACGCCCTAATTACACGTGATTCCGTAATTTCATGCAGATTATGCAACCGGGCTGCGCGTGTGCGGTTATTTGCGAGCCCCGTATACACGCCACTGCGATCCTTGTATAGGTAGATATTTCGAGAGCGCTTCCACAGCCGTCAGCTTTAATTCCTTCACGGGATTCCTTCACCGACTCCGGATTGTAGTTGCGCCCACGTAGTGTATTCCCCGACCCTTAAACCGCTCGGTGAAAATTGCACGAGCCAGTGGTGTCGAGCATAGCTGGAATAGATAGAGCTTACGCCTAAAAGATATGACTGTTTCGAGGTGTTTGTCTTTCTTGATTTTTTTTTGATACACGTCGGATTAGAGACCAGGAGAATTTTCTAAAAGTACCATCGACGAGGTGTGGGAGTAAACCGGTTATTCAATGTATTTTTGCGGCCCAGTTTTCTGGGTCGCTAGCACTCCATTACTATGTACTACAGATTAGGTGGGTCGCCAGGTCCCGTAAGGTGACTGGCGACAAGTCTATTACTATACCTCGTCGGTGATAGTACATCCATTCGATGAGAAAAAAAAGAAAATAATCGAGAAAGAACTTCGATCGAATTCCACTTGGATTCGTGTGTGACGGATGACTCGAAATAAATGAAACCTTTTCGCAGGCAGCAATTTCACCGATTCGCTTTTACGGTGGGATCCGAGAAGTAGTATATCGAAAGAACGAAGAGGACACCGCGTTGGAGCATGTTCGTAACTCGTGTCTCTCCTATCGTGGAAAGTTCCCAATCTCCTGTGTGTCGTGGCGAGGCAAAGCCGAGCGTGGAGAGAACGTTGTATATACGTTTCGATCCTGAGCCAGCCATCACTCGTAAGCTCTATCGAGCTTCGACAACGACAGGAGAACTTCGAACCGCGCGTGTAATTTCGGCCTCGCGGGACTCAGAGGTCCGGGTACGGCATAGGTGCAATTGCGATCCGCAATCGCGGAGGAATCCTCCGACAGGGGGGCGGTGGGATTATAGCTGACAGGTAGAGCTCCCCGAGTATCCGATAGACAAAACGGGACCAATCCCTTGCTGTGATTCCAGGGCAAATATAACCTATATGTACAGAGTGTCGCAAAATAGCTTCGATTTCCGGAAATGGGGGTTTCCTGGGATGATTTGAAACAACGTTTCCCTTGGAAAAAATGTTATCCGAGGCTTTGTTAACGAGATATTAACGGAAAACCCTGACCAATCAGAACGCGAGTTCCCGCGGTAGCGTTGGCTACCAATCGCAGCGCGTAGATTTCCTAAACTATTTTGGGACACTCTGTATATACACTGTGGTGAACGGAACGGTTGTCGGCGAAACCACGAGGAATTTACGTGACAATAACGTTTCCTTATTCTTCGCAAGGCTTAAATATCCACGGGAATATTGTAAGTACGCCTCGGCGTATCTACGTGTGTATTTGCATATCCATGAAACTTTGCATGTGAGAACGCTCCCGTTGAATGCATCTCGCGGGCCAAGCGGCGGCAGCTTTCCGCTTCCAGCCTAGCGAGGATTATCGCGCCGCAATGGGGTGTATTCGCGAACGTTATGGACGGGGTGGGTTCGATATAATGGTCGTGAGAGCACATTGAAAAGGGAACCGTTATCGTTAAACTTCTTTTACGGCAAGTTCCCTCCGGTCCATGTGGAGAACGGAAGTGAAAGGAACTCTAGCGGTGAATGAAATTGATCTGTAATAAATAGAGTTTTTCTTTGACCGTACAAGTCTGCTTGGTACAGAAGCTTAATGCGTGGAAATTTAGCCTTCTACACCACCGAGAAGATCAATTATCGAGCGTTTACTGTAGTACTATACACTTTTCCGCCTTATTTTCATAGTCGTTTGAAAAATTTCCGAGCCACGAAACACCAGGGAGTCCATTCGTCATTTATACACGCGAAATGAAGTTATTAAGATAGATGCGACGATACCTGGGGGTATCTGATAGATGGAGAACGAGCGCAAGTACGGTACCGATAAATGTTCCGAAACGACAAGGCGAAATGATGAATGGTCCCCGAACGTTTTATTGTGGCTGCTCTAATTAACGTTAATTTCGTAATAGTAGCACGGTATCGTTCGTACGAAGCTTATTGATGCACGCGATGCATAAAATGTTTTAATTGGTTACGATTTTTTCAACCATCGCTAGTTGGCTTTAACAATTATGTGAAATTGGACGTTAAAACGTCCGTTCTTTGAGTCCTCGAAGTTTGTAAAGAGGGTCAAAAATCGCTGCGAAGGAGGGACAGATGAAATGTTTAAGCTTGGTGCACTTTTAAACACAAATTTAGGTAAATTCTCATCGAGTGAAGTCAAATTGTTATGAATTTCTTAAAGTTGCCTGTATAAATTATTGCAGAAGAATCTTCAAAAAATAACAACTAAAAAGCGCGTTAAAAAAAAGAATAGGCTCGTCTAGGAGAAGGAAGAACACGCGTTTATGAAAGAGGATGCTTTACGAGTGCCGCTCGGTTTTAATTTCGCCCGAAAGGCAGCCTGTTTATTACGATTTCACGGCGTTCAACGGTGGACTCGTGGCTTCAAGATCTCCCACCGAGAGTCGCATCGGATTCAAGACCGCGCATTAAAATAATTTCATCAGTCGGAAGTGAAATATTCTTCTCCCGTCCGGCGATTTTAATCTTCCCTGGCTTTTCATATTACAGGATTTATTAAATTTGAATTTCCTCAACGGACGGTGGCGGTGGTCCTTTGAATCGGGGAAACTGTCTTCGGATAAAGTTGTCTTTTAATTGCACACCGGAAAATGGAGTCGTTTAAATTTGCGTTTCTCTTTAATTCTGTGTTTTGTTTTCAGATGGAAGCAAACTCTATCGGAAAGATGCGAAATCTTTTCGGGAATAATAATTTTTCAGGCATTATTCGAC